TTGGGGCTAAGCCAGTTGTTCCTTCTTCGACACCCAGTCCTATGAGATCTAATAGCGTTTGCGCTTCGCGAAATAAGATTTAATGACGATTCTTTAATTTAGGATGAAGTTTGCTGAGCATCTATCTGCTCATCTCACCCCAGAGTGGAGAATTCAATATATTCAATATGACGTAATACATCCTTACATCTTTTGATATTTTATATAGATGCTTAAGGAGATTCTTTATAAGGCCCTTGATGATTTTGTATATTTACAAAGTAGGCGTCATGATTTTGTTCTTAACTCTTAGGTGATGATGAATTTTCCATAAAGGCTCATTTCGATGCATGTGACGAGGTATTCTTCACAATTTGCCAAGAAGAATTAACAAAAGTCAACAATTTTCACGCAGGTTTACTTAATACGAATTATTTATGTCTTAATAAAATAGAAAAGCTCGCTGAAGCAAAGAGAAAGTTTCAGAGCCTACGTAATGAGCTTGATGATTACCTAGAGCAGTTTCAAAACAAACATAGCGGATGGCTTGCTGGTTCAAGGATATCACTTTCGCGCAAACGACGAGAGTCTTCGGAAAATCAAACCGTTGATGAGAAAAGCCAAAAGATTAAATTAGACGTAGATAAAAATGCAGTGTACGATCGTATCCATCACTCGCCTGATGCTGCTGAAAGGGGAGAAATAAAGAAAGGTGCTTTACGAAGAAGAATCCCTCTTACAGAGGCTTCATCTACTTTAACTTCTTTAGTCTCAAGAACAAAAGGAAAGCAACGGAATGTCAGGAAGCTTCATGACATAAAGTTGGCATTTAGCGAATTCTACCTTAGCCTTATTTTGCTACAAAACTACGAGTCGCTTAATTTCACAGGATTTAGGAAAATTCTCAAAAAACATGATAAGGTAATTGCTTATATTACTTTATACGATTACCAGCTCTTTCTACGCTCTTCTGGTCTTATTTGGCGCGAAGCAACTGTTGAAGCTGCGCCATTTTACAGGAGTCGTGAAGTAGAAGATTTAATATCTGAAGTCGAGGTAAGCCATTTATATGCTTGCTATAAACAAGACTTTGCAACAAATTAGAATATACCTTTATGTCTGTATTATAATCATTACAGTGGACTAAATCCGCCTTAATAAGAATACTTAATTTGCTTTTTACGCGTCCTCATTCTGCCCATATTTTCTACTTAGTAGATCAATGACGCTTTAAGATTAAGGGACGAACAAATTTGTCTATTTAATATAATTACATAACCTGTTTAAGTTAATAATTTTACATCTCGCAATTTTCGTTGTTGGTTATATGTTCTTTCCCAACCACTACGGACTCAGATAATTTTAGATTCACCTAATTTTATACTTTTTTATTATTATTCAGCAAAGACCTCTGCTCTTAATCGTATCTTTGTCTAAATAGTTTCTTAGATTCCTACTCTTATGTCATTGCTAGTATTTAACCGGTCCAACTTAATATGAAAATTTTAGCCTGTCAGAAGGACGACACAACTAACTTATAGCTACTCATTAATAAATGATTAGGAAAATCACAATTTTCCATTATAGTGACATTATTTAATCGTTTTATTTTAGTAATTGCTTCATTAAGCACTTAGAGAAAAATTTATCAAAGACTATTTTATTTCAATTTTAAAGTTTTTTCATGCATTGCTTTTAAATTATTAATGGGTTAGCTCATATTATTATTCGTGTTTTATTGCTTGCGATTTTTTATGGATGAAAAAATATATTTTTTAAATATATTATAGTCACAATTGAGTAGGGTTTCGAGACTACTGGGTAGGCAAATTCACAAATTAATTATTTAAGGTAGCTTGTTTACACGAATATCGGCACTTTTTATTTTATCATTTATTTAATCCTAGTCTCTTATCACACCCAACGACATCAGTTATATATTTTTCCCTTGGTTTACTATTAATCTAGTGATGATAAGAAGTTGGTTATGCTTGTTTACTCTCCTTAAATTAACTCCAAATCGGTGTATCTATGAGAGATTTGGTAACCTTAGACTCTTTTTGAGCACGGTTGATGTTTAGGTGAAATTATTATTGGCATTAGTAAAGGCCTTATCCTTAATACCTTATAACATCATAACGAATTTTTTCGCCTGGTTAAAATTAGATGATTATTGGAAATCAATGCTGTTTGTAAATTTATATGGAATGGTTGGGAAATTCACTATCTATAGGGAGATCCTATTTTCCATAAATGGCTGTGATCTGGTTTTGAAATAAAAGCAAATTTACTGCATTTGAGAGATGATCTAATCCGGAAATTCCATTAGTAGGCTTTTTCCAGGATCATATGCATATTAAGAATATCGGATTTTATCTTTCCTGCGATTCTTTTTAGGCAATAAGATGTTAATGAGTGAAATAAATAAATTTTGATGCTTCCCTGCTCTCATTTTATCTGCCTGGTAGTTACGCTTTTCTAGTTTGGGTGTGCTGCCGGACAAACTCGTTCCAACTAAGTAGCTATTATTTATAGCTCCTTTAAGAGATCACTTAGGTTTATTGCTAAATCTCTGGAATAACCACAGCCAATCTCATTTAATGTTTTAATATAAA